CAAATAGACAAAAAGAAAACAAAGAAGCACAAAAGGAAGAACTAAAACTCGAAAAATACAAAATAAAGAGAAACACAGAAAATAAAATCAATACCAAAACCAAATATCCTACTTGCCTTCCCCGGCAACGACGCCAAATTTGTTGTGTACACATTAATCTTTTACCGAGTACCGAATCGAAAGATTCGTTCCCCGGGTCGATCTCACGAGGAAGGCGGTTCGGAATTTAGTTCTGATATCGATAACTCACAAAAGCGAAATAAGACCTAAACACTCTAATCAGATAAAGATTGGATGAATTATAAGCTACGAAATAAATAACAATGCAAAAATGTAAATCTACCTAAGAGTATGAATGGAGCGAAGATGGAGAAGCTAGGGAATCGGGGATAATTAATTCAAGTTCTAGCAAAGTCGGGCAATCAATTGTTCGGTTCGAGATTGACACTCTTGCTTATATATCTAGCGGTTCGCTCCCAATAACTCTTCGTAACAAGGGATTGAACATAGACGAACAAGCTCAAGCATACAAAACAGGCCAATTATCCCAGTCCCAATAACTATTCGTAACAAGGGACAAGTCATTGACAAGCTCGTATTTCAATCTAAAACACATAGACTATTCAATTACGAAATCATCTACCTCATGTGAGCCTATTTCTACGACTTCTCCCCTTTCGGTTTTGAAAGTCGCTAAGTCAATTAGAGGGTGTTTAATCAACTAATCATATAGAATTGACAAACCCTAGCTCGACAAACTAACATCCAACTGTCACCAGTAGCAAGATCGAAATGTCACTTTTCGATTATATCAATCTATCGAACTCAAATTCATCAATTCCTAATCAAAACAACGCACATAAGAATGAACAAATCAAGCCCGACAATTACACGTTAAACAAGAACAATAAATCCCCTATCCCTAGCACAAAGGATCAGCTACGTAGAACGAATTCAAAGCACATAATCATTCTTCTCGAATCAACCATTATTCATGAGTTAAATAAGAGAAAGAAATACTTACAATTAACCAAGTTCGAACGTTGAATTCGTAGTACAAGCTTAATCCGAAGAAAAAGGAGAAAAAAATGGAAAATAAAGGTAAAAAGAACAAGA